ATCCTTATATATCACCCTGAACCAGAATCAACTCCAAATGGATCAAAGACCTCAAAATAAAAGCAGACACCATGAAACATTACAGAAATCAATAGGAGAAAGTCTAGGGCTCCTTAGCACAGGCTGAAATTTTCTTAATAGAGACCCAGAAACACAACAAATCAGACAAATGGGATTGCATTTGCAGAGTTTCTGCATGGCAAAGGACAGAGCTAGCAAGATCAATAGAAAGCCCAGGGATTGGGAGAAGATCTTCACTAGCCATACAAGGGACAAGAGTCTCATATATAAAATATACTTCGAACTCAAAAAACTAAATCTCCCTACAACAAATCCTCAGAGAAGTCCTATAAATAAGCGGTCTAAAGACTTAAAGAGAAACTTCTCTGAAGAGGAAATAAGAATGGTCAATAGACATATGAAGAAATGCTCAACTTCTCTAGCCATAAAAGAAATGCAAATCAAGACAACATTGAGATTCCACTTCACCCCAGTTAGAATGACTATAATCAAAAAATCTAGTAACAACAGATGCTGGAGGGATGTGGCCAAAAGGGAGCCCTACTGCATTGTTGGTGAGAATGTAAACTTGTTCAACCACTTTGGAAAGCAGTATGGAAGTTCCTCAAAAGACTTCACATAGAGTTCCCCTATGACCCAGCAATCCCACTTTTGGGCATTTACCCAAATGATCACAAGCAAGACCATACCAAAGCTACCAGCACAACCATGTTTATCACAGCATTATTCACCATAGCTAAGATATGGAACCAACTCCGATGCCCTTTAGTAGATGAATGGATCAAGAAAATGTGGTACATATATACAGTGGAATTCTATGCCTCCATCAGAAAGAATGACATAGCCCCATTTCATCGCCCATTTGTTAGGAAATGGAAAAACTTGGAAAAAATTATATTCAGTGAAGTAAGCCAGACCCAAAGAAATATAGGTCCCATGGTTTCCCTTATTTACAATAACTAGTATATGTCTAGGACAAGCAGAAAAGGTCAAAAGTTATGTACATATGACGATATAAGATGATGTTAAGCTAAATGAACCCCAAGATAGGGGCACAAGTGTTTTTTTTCTTTCTTGTGATTGTTTTTAATGTACTTATAATGCACTATGTGATCCTTTTGTTTCTTTTGAATGTTCCTTCCCAACAGTATAACTTCTGTTTTTCATTGTATTTGATGTCGGTAGCCTGCATCTTGTATATGCATTTTTCTAATTTGGGGAGGGTAAGGAAAATAACAAAATGTTGAAATAAGGATACAGGATGACCTATTGTAACAATGAGATGTACAAGACACTATGTTGAAAACAGACTTTACAACTTGGTGGGGTTGGGGAGGTGGAGCAGGAAGGGATGGTAGGGGGAAAACAAAGGAGGAGGTAACAATGCTCTATAGGAAATGTACTCATTACCCTCCTCATGTAACTGTAACCCCTCTGTACAGTATTTTTACAATAAAAAATATAAATGAAAGAAAAAAATAAAAATCTGTCCTCTTGATTGAAAAAAAAAGAAGTTGCCAAAGAAATAGTAGTTTTCTGATTGGGAGTAGACCACAAGAGGGTAGAGGCCATCTACCTCTGTATCTAGGTTTCCTCCTACTTTCCTCTCCATTTGCATATTGGATTTCCCCAGGGTGTTGGGTTTGTAGAAAGCTGGTTTCTCACAAAAATTCCTGAGAAGCCATCTGCTTGTATGCTTCTGATATACCTTGTCAGAGAGAAAAGTAGAATCAATCATTCAAAGTGGAACTACTTGCTCTTTCACTAGGAAATGAGGTACATATGCCACCCACTATATGCTAATAAGAATGCACATATCCATCCAGGAGTCAAGTCAGAGGGCAGTGCCAAGAAGGTCAATTCAGAAAGGCAGTTAGCCAATACTTCCCTGACCTTATATGTGGTTTCCCAACTCCAGCAATGTCTCTGTGGGCAGCAAAGCTGGGTTTTGTCCAAGACACAGAAGGCTACACTCAAGAGGGCCTCTCCTTCAAGAAAGCCACTGGGTTCACTGGATCTCACTGGGAATCAAAGCAGCCTTGGTAACACACATGAATAGACAAAGAAGCTTCCAAGCAGAACCTCTTATGGAAATTGGGACACAACCCTGATAACATCTGGCCATGGACATGGTCTATCCATGGAGGAACTCACCACAAGGCTCTGCCCAAGTGCTCACCAGAGCTCTGTCCTCTCAGGATGAGAGTCAGCAGCACCTACCTTTTTGTAGCCAGTAGGGAGATGCAGAAGATGACCAACCTCTGAGCCATTCATGGCCTCTCTGAAGGCAGCCTCATTACTGAGGTGGCTCCTGTCTCTGATCTTCTCTCCAAATTCAAAGAATTTCTGTCACATATTCAGGCCACCCTAGTACCTTCACAATAAGATTTTGAAAAGTGGAAGAATTCCTGGGACTATTTCATCACCATATGCAAAAACAAGGTAATCACTAGCTCAAGGCCTGTGCTGCAGTGGGGCAGGGAGGTTGGACAGATGGAATGCTTCTGCTCACATCCCTCCCTCCACAGAGATGCCTGGCCTCAGGTAAGCTTCATTTGGCTGTAAAGGTGGCTGTACAGACTGGCCGTCTAGCCAAATGCTCCGGTTGAACTAAGAAGCAATCAGTGTGTAAACACAGGTCTCTGAGCAGGTGTCCACAGAGCCACACTGGAGGAACAGATGCATCTGTCCTCGGCCTTTAGAAGGCCTGCTCAAAGCTCAACACACAGGTCAGATGGTGCCCAGCCAGCCAGCTGTCAATCTGAAAGGAAGAGCAGAGCTGGTGAGTTACCTCACCATTCCCTCTACACGCTAGTGAACAGGAAAATATAAAGTAATAATGGTGCCCCATTGCACAAGGACAGGAAACCCTCACAGAACTTTCCTAGGCTTTCTGTAACACAAAGGATCTCTGGTCAAATAAGCTTAGGATATAGGATGGCTGGAAATTTAACAGGTTTCTTTAGCAGAAGACTTTGGGAGCCTTTGAAATGTAAATGTTCTTGGGAATTTTGTCTGAGAAGGGAAGACAGAATGTGATATTTCTGTTTTATTTGCTTGCCACCGATAGCTTTAACAAAGTAGCTTGCACTGCTAGAAAGATCTCAGAAAGAATGACTGAACTAGTGTGGAAGAGGCTGGTAAATGATCCCAGAATCCAAGACCAACAGCTTGGGGACTCTGCCTTTTATCCATGAGGTCTCGATTCTTCACACTAGAACTGCCAGCTCCATGCCCAAAGCCTGGTACTCTGGGGAAGGGGGTGTCAGCTGGGGACCTCTCTGTGACTCATAGGATCTCTACCCAGACCCCGACACCGCTCAGTGCTGACACCTTTGCACTGTGCACAAGTCTGTCTCTCCCTGTCCATTATGCACACTATCTCCCACCACCTTCCTCCCTCCATCAGGTTTTAAGGTGTCCCTTATAGAGCTGTCTCTCAGATAAATACACAAGTCTCTTAGTAACAACAGAGAAACAAACCTGTGCTACCAGAAGAACCAAGTCCAAAGCATTGCTGGAAGCAGGTGGCTCAGGCCTATATTCCCAGCTATTCAAGAAGCTGAGGCCTGGAAGATCACAGTTCAGGCTAGCCTGGGAAGACTCCATCTCCAATGGACTAGGAAAATGTCACCAAAGGTGTTATTCAAGTGGAAGAATACCAGCCCCAAGCATACAAACCAACAGCTTCATGAATGCAAACCAAAGGGGCAGGGGAAAGAGAGAGAGGGAGAGAGGAAGACACACACACAAACACACACACAAATAAACAGACAGAGACGGAGAGACAGAATCAGAGATGGAGAGAGAGAGAAGAGAGAAAAAGAAAAAGAGGAGAGAAAAAAGAGAGGGAGGGAGGGAAGTACAGGGATTGGGGAGGCAGGAATGGAAGATACAGGAATGGAGGAGATGGAGAGGGGAAAGAGAGAGGGGGCAAAGAATTGAGAGAGGGGAGAGAGATAGAGAAAAGCAGGGGTTCAAGCTCCAGTACCAGCACATATTCACACACACACACACACAAGAGCATGGAAATTGACAGTGCTCCTATATCCCCCCCGGTCCACTGAAGAGTGGTCCATGTTGAAACCAGGACTCCTCAGCTCTCTTCTTTCCTCCTCTCAGTTCTCCTTCAGTATCAACTCTGCCTTTCATCAGGTCACCCCTCTTTTGCCCGTTTTAGCTCTCATTGCTTCTCTCACCAGAATCCCATCTCACTCTTTGGACAGAGCTTTGCCTTGCAAACAGCCCTAAACTGGACCCCTGTCTTGCTAGGAGTCCCAGCCCACCTTCTCCTCAGTCTGCTCTGATAGCTTCAGGCTCCTGACCCCAATGCACACAGACCAAAAGCCAAGTGTGCCTGATTCCTCCCCCAGCACACACCTGTCACACAAGTGAGAGCAGCCTGAGCTCTCAACATTTCCTTTGTGTGGGAATCCAATGCCAGAAGCTGAGCCCAGTGGTAGAGGCTCACATCCAATCTTACTGAACTCCTACGCATGTGCAGACACACTCCATCCACGGGTGTGGTCCCTCCACTGGTATGATCCATCTGCAGGCACCACTACATCTCCTAGGTCACTCACTCCTTCAGAGGTTTCTCCATATCTAGCTGAAAGGAAGTGAAAATAATGTTTTCATTCATACACGTTATGATGTCAAATAATGGGCTTTGGATGTTCCAGTACATGAAACTGAGCTTATTTGACACCCTGGTTCTCCCAGAAGAAAAATTGGGCTGACAGGAAGAGCTACAATTCTGAGCATGCAGTCTGTGTAACAAGGTCTTTAAAATATTCCAGATTTCATCATTCTGTTGTAAAATAGGTGATTCCTGGACAATAGCTTTATGTTGGCATAGTGATAAAATGAGCTTTACAGAGCAAACAGAGAGAGAGAGAGAGAGATCTGCATTGAAATGGGGGAAAGGTGGGGCAGAAACTAACACACTACTGTGTACTTATACAGCTCCCCCTGTTTTTTCAGCCAAGCTTGGCCCCTAGGCTCTGGCCAGGCAGCATCTCTAGGGTACCCAGCAGCTGGATCTAGTCACTGAAAGACCATCAAGGGATAAGGGCAATCCAGGATGCCTTCTGACTCTCAGATCCATGAGTTCCTATAGACCCCAAGCTCAAAGTCTGAGTTCAAACAAAAATAAACAATAAGCAGGTAGGTAACATATGTGGAATATCAGATTTTTACTTGCTGTGGCATTTAGGAGAAAACATTTCTTCTTCTTATTATTATTATTGTGAAAATACCATACAGAGGGGTTACAATTACATGGGCAAGATAATGAGTACATTTCTTATCAAGCATTGTTGCCTCCTCCTTTGTTTCCCCATACCATCCCTTCCCCTCTCCACCCTCACACCCCCACACCCTCCTACGACCACCACCACCACCCACCACCACCACCCACCCTGCCAAAATTGTAAAGTTCATTTTTTGACATAATGTCTTACATGTCTCATTGTTATAATGGATCCACCTGTATCCCTATTTAAACAGATTGTTTTTTCCATTCCCCTCCACAAATTATATCAGCATCAAATACAGTGAAAGCAGGGTTTATACCCTAGGGGAGGGACATACAAAGCAACAAAGAAATCACCTTATAAATATATTGGAAACAATCGCAAGAAAGAAAAAAACATTTGAATCCTTATCTTGGGGTTCATTTCACCTAACATCAACTTGTCTGACAGTTTCTGTTTCTCTCAGACATATACTAGTTATTGCAAATAAAGGAAAACATGGGACCTATATTTCTTTGGGTCTGGCTTACTTCACTTAATATAATTGTTTCCAAATCTTTCCATTTCCTAACAAATGGGGCAATGTCGTTCTTTCTGATGGAGGCATAGAATTCCATTGTGTATTTATACCACATTTTCTTGATCTATTCATCTACTGAGGGGCATCTGTGTTGGTTCCATATCTTAGCTATGGTAAATAATGCTGCAATAAATATAGTTGTGCTGGTAGCTTTAGTATGGTCTTGTTTGTGATCATTTGGGTAAATGCCCAAAAGTGGGATTGCTGGGTCATAGGGGAGCTCTATGTGGAGTCTTCTGAGGAACCTCCATACTGCTTTCCAAAGTGGTTGAACAAGTTTACACTCCTACCAACAATGCAGTAGGGTTCCCTTTTGGCCACATCCCCTCCAGCATCTGTTGTTATTAGAGTTCTTGATTATAGCCATTCTAATTGGGGTGAGGTGGTATCTCAATGTTGTTTTGATTTGCATTTTTTTTATGGCTAGGGAAGTTGAGCGTTTCTTCATGTGTCTATTGGCCATCCTTCTTTCCTCTTCAGAGAAGTTTCTCTTTAAGTTTTAGCCCACTTATTTATTGGGCTGTTGTTTCTTTCAGGATTTATTGTTGGGGGATTTAATTTTTTGAGTTCCAGGTATATTTTAGATATGAGACCCTTGTCCGTTGTATGGCTAGTGAAGATCTTCTCCCAATCCCTGGGCTTTCTATTGATCTTGCTAGCTATGTCCTTTGTCATGCAGAAGCTCTGCAATTTCAAACAATCCCATTTGTCAAACCTTTCTTTGATTTGTTGTGTTTCTGGGTCTCTATTCAAAAAATTTCGGCCTGTGTCAAGGAGACCTAGGGTTTCTCCTATTCCATCCTGTAATGTTTTCAGAGTGTCTGCTTTGACTCCGAGGTCTTTGATCCATTTGGAGTTGATTCTGGTGCAGGGTGGTATATAATGATCTAGCTTTAGTTTTCTACAAGTAGTTAACCAATTTTGCCAGCACCATTTACTGAAGAAGCTGTCTTTCTTCCATTCTATTCTTTTAACTCCCTTATCGAAGATTAGATGGCTATAGGTCTGTGGGTTCATTTCTGGGTCTGTTCTTGTTCCAGTACCAAGCTGTTTCGATTACTATGGCTTTAGGAGAAAAACATTTCTTTGTTCAGGGGACAACTGTGAAGCTAACACAGGTCACAAAGCCAAGAGCTTCTTCTGGGAGGACAAGTAAGAAGACAGGTAGACAACAACCTGGAGCTGGTCACCACCATGCAGTTCGGGCCACTCCCAGTTCAAATCAGCTCCTTTCAAAATCAGCATCAGCCTCCCTGGGAATAAACAAAGAGTGTAACCTCAGAAGCGAGCAGCCCTGGGAAGCAGCTCAGAGTCCACAGAGCCACAGGACATTGCACGGAGCACCCTCCCAAACAATGGCCCTGCACCTAGCATCCCACTGCCCCTCTCCGCCAGTCCTCTCCCCAGAGGCTGGCTCCACTCCCTCAGACAAAATGCTGCCTCAGGCTTGGAACTGAAACTAAGTCCTTCCCAGAAAGACAGTGGGAAGGACTCAGAGATAGAAAGCTGCTCAGAAAATCAGAGACCCACGTCGCTAGCAGCACTGAGAAGAGCTCTGAGACAAGCAGTGGCATCACACACAGACCTTCTCTTCCTTCTCTCTGCCCCATCATCTGGAAACCAGGAGAACTCAGCCTGTCTAGGAGCCACTATGACCCATGGACCAGTCTTTTCTCATCTGTCTCAGTGCTTGCAGCTATAGGAGGAAAAGGTTGCTCTATCATAGAGCTGGTTTCTGATTGAGTCGTTCATTCATTTGATTGATTGTAGTCCTGGGGATTGAACTCAGTCTCTCACATTTGCTAGGGAGCCACTCTAACACTTGACTCATCCTCCCTGTGATCCTCTTACTTATGCTTCCCATTACTGGGGTGACAGGCATGCAATACTGTTACCCAGCTAAAGGTTCAACCTCCTGGTACCATGGGTTAGCAACCAAGTCAATAACACATGGGCCTCTGAGGTATATTTCAGAACCAAACTGCCAAGATATAGCACCAGATATCACAATAGCTGAATACATTTCACCACCATTAAACAAGAAATGATTAATCACTTAGCTCCTTCAGAGAAGGAAAAAAAGACTCAGGGCAAAGCCTGATCTTTTTATGACAGTGGCAGTGCCCAGTAGTATGTCAGGTTCTCACCAGCACAGTTTTATTTACAAAGTAGCCGAGTCTAGCTTTTCCTGCCCAAAACACGCAGGGAAGGGGTGAGGTAAACCACAGGTTCCTATCCTTGAATCTGTCAGGATTGTCAAATGGCACGTGGGATCTGGACTCCCACCAAGAATTGAATCCTGGGCAGACCATTCCAGAACATATTCAGGTCTCCTTCATGCGTGGCCGAATGGGAGAACACAAGGGCAGTCTGGGTTTCTACCAACCCTTCCCTGTTGTTCCCTGAGACAAGAGACTGGGTTAGCTGGGACCTAGGGATAAGGGCTCTGGTGGTTGCTACCTCCTTACCTTGCAGAGACAAATGAGGTTATTCAAGAACTTGGTGCCTTGTCTGTCTCACACGGAGACTCAGGAGTAAAAGCCAGTCCTTCAAAGCAAGGATTCAGGTCTCCCTACTTCCCCGTCCCATGTCACTTGGGAGGACACCTGCCCAGGAAGCCAGCAGTTCCCTCCCATTTCCGTCTACATAATTAAGAAACAACCCCCACTGATCCCTCACTCTGAATTTCTAGCATGAGGTGAAGCTCTTTCTGATGGTTCAAAACTTTGGCCTGGCTCACAAAGTTCTTTTACAGTGCTTCTCAAGATGGTTATTGACTCATTTCTACCTTAGCACAAACTAGCTCCTCATTGTAATTCTTTGGCATCCACAGCCATTTTACCACTGCACTGACCTTTGTTTCTAGGTTAATTATAGTTTTGTTTATTAGAGAAATCGAACTGAATTCACTTAGTTTTACGCTGTTATCATTCATTCACATTTCCCACATTCATTTCCCACAAAGGAAAAATAAAGCTGTCTAGAAATGAGTGGAAGGGCTGGGATGTAGCTCAGTGGCAAAGCGCTTGCCTAGCAAGCGCAAAGTCCTGGGTTCGATGCCCAGTACCAAAAAAAGAAAAGACAAAAAAAAATAGAAATGAGTGGAACAGACCCGTGTTGGTAGTAAATGTTCCCTTGGCAAGGTGAGCATTCTGGAGCCCAGCCTCTAGAAGTAGGTGCTGATGCCATCTTTCTCCACCTGCAGGCCTGCGTGCACTCAGTGTGGCCTTGCCAGGGAGCACAGAGCCTGTCTGGGGCTAGACTGGCCCTGTTGGACAACCCATTAGCCCCAGCTATCAAAGACATCTGCCTGCTCTGATTACCATCACAGAAGAGGAGTGGCAATGGACCCCAGCACTCCATGGTTGGGGATCCCTGGGTCCCCAAGCAGGACACAGGCTGCTTGCAATGTTGAAGGCCAAGAAAGACGGATTTAGATGGTGCTTTACAGCTCCCTCCTCCAAGAAACACATTCAGGCTTCTAGCAATGATGTGAAATCACAAGATAGCTGACGTAACTAATACAAAGTGCTTATTCACTAAACAGGGAGAGTTTCACGCTGTAACTCAATTTGTATTGTATAATGGGATCTGAGTGAGGCTGACAGGAGCCTATATACTGGACAGGCAGTCTTGGCATCAAGGGGCCCAGCAGACTAATGTCCAGTACAGCTTCTCAGGGCCTAGGCTATTGCTCCCAAAGGCCACTCCACCCAAATATTCAGTCACTCTCACCTTCCTTCAAGGGAAGTCTCAACTATTTCTCACCTATTATTGATAACAATTCCAAGTCAAACAACCCTTTCTTCCATGTGAACTCTCAACTCTCTAACAGTGTCCACCACAGTGAGTACAGAGAGGAGCTCTGTACTGAGCACTACTTGGTACTCACTGAGTATTCCAGGGTCCTCAATGCCCCAGAATCTCAGAGAAGTTCCCCTGATCTATAGGCTCCAGATACCCTACCAATAAGTGTGCACCTATCTTTTTTGGGGGAAAAATGGTCTAATGAGATTGTCAGAGCTCTAGTGCAGCAATTGGCTCACTTTATGCTCAGATCTGAGTTCCCAAGGCTGAGAGGCGTGACAGGTCTAGAGCTGCAGGGTGAGAACTCATCCCTGAGACAGGCTACTCAGCCATCAGTCAGGATTCTGGGTTAGTATACAGACACCAGAGATGGGACTCAGACAGGCCAGCCCCATGCTCTCTGCACCCAAGGGTACCACCCTACATAGCTGCAAGCAAGTAGCAGAGTCCCTGCCAGGAACCCAAACTGGAAGCACCATGGACAACATGGATAGACCTTTCTAGAACAGGCCTAGGGAGGGGTCCTGGTTGTCAGTCTCCCTCCCTCCCACCTTCCTTGCTAAGGTAAGGGAATCACACTATCACTTTCTCGGCAAGACTGCAAGTGGCACACAGGGAGACCATCAGGACAGAAAGTCACCCCCAATTCCCAAAGGAGGAACCTTAGGCTCAGGCCTGGCCAGGTTTCAAGGAGACAGATGTGGTACCTGATGTTGGCCCTGCCTCCAGTTCCCAATGCTCCCTCATGCACAGTGTACTGTAGAATTTGGACGAAGCTTCCTCAATTAGAAGGGACATTCAAGATTCTGGTACAAACCCGGAACCACTCCTGGCTAACGTTGGAGCTTCACCTCCTCTCCCCTCCATCCACTCAGAAGCAGGACTTAGGAACTGGGAAAGATGAGTTCTGTCCTCTCCTCTGCCTCACCCCAATGTGTGGCTCTCAATGTGAGTCTCAGCTTGCCATCTGTGAAGTGGCCAGCTGACCTGATGGTATCTATAGCTTCCAGCTATTCCCACTTACAATTTGATAGGCATGCAGGTGTTCAGTACCTGTTAGCATGCTGGAATCCACAAAGCTGGAACTGACGGAGGGAAGGCAGCAAGCCTATCTCTTAGCCAGGCAGAAGAGTTACTGATCTCAAAGCCCCCAGTGAGGGCTGAGTGCTTCCTGGAGAAAGTTAAAAAGAGAGCTGTGCCCCCAGAAAGGGCACATTTGGGTAGGCAAGAGGTGGACATAAGATAAGGGACCTACATTTTGAGGTCACTCAATTCCTTTTAATGATTCCTAAGTACTTCCTTACAACTTTCTATAACTCTACCAGCTCATCCCCACTCCAGAACTCCACAAGCAACTTCTTTAGGAGTCAGTAACTGGGAGCAATGTTGATACTTCCAGCTAATTGTGTTGATACCATAACCATTCAAAATGGCCTCATAAACAGCTCTTATAGAACAGTTAATATGGCTAAGTCCAAATGAAGATAATACTATTGCTTATTATATCTCTATAAATTTATTTTATGGAGAGGGAACAAGGTGTTCTTATATTCTCAGATTACTCAGATGCCAGAGCCAGAGGAAGTAGGAAAGACTTCATGAAGATGTGCCCTGTGGGGATAATTCATTAGGAATAATTGTGGTTTATAACAGCAAGAGCTATTGGGAGATTGTGGGTGTACATATGTGTATGTGGTGTGTGTGTGTGTGTGTGTGTGTGTGTGTGTGTGTGTGTGTGTGTGTGTTGGTCCTGGAGCTTGAACTCAGGGCATGAGTGCTGTCCCTGACCTTTTTTGCTCAAGGCTAGTACTTTATTACTTGAGCCACAGCTCTATTTCCAGTTTTCTGGTGGATTATTGGAGATAAGAGTCTCACAGACTTTTTTGGCTGGGCTGCTTCAAACCATGATCCTCAGATCTCAGCCTCCTGAGTAGCTAGGATTACAGGTGTGAATCACTAGCACCCACTGAAGCAACTTTTTGTAAGTGAAATGAATTAAGAAAACAGATTATTCAGGCATGTTCACCTTTATTAAATAAATCATCTAGACCAATTCCCTTTGTGTGGGTGGAGAGAGAGGGAGAGAGAGGGGGGGGAAGGAAAGGGAAAGGGAAAAGGAAAGGGAAAGGAAAATGGAAGGAGAGAGAGTTCAGTAGTCTGTATCATCTTTTTGCCAGAGAATAGTGTCTACAGGACAGAGGCCAGAAACTCTATCTACTCAAGCTACTCAGGAGCCAGAGATAGAAGGATTGGGTTCTGAGGCTGGCTTGGGTAAAGTTAGCAAACTGAAAAGCAAAGGGACTGAGGCATGCATGGCTCAAGGGTTAAAGCATCTACCTAATAAACGTAAGACCCTTATTTAATCCTCAGTTCTACCAAAAAGAAAAATAGCATCAAGGTCCATTTTATGACGCTGTAAAAGAATAAACTTAAGGTTGTATAATTCATAAGGAAAAAGAAGTCTATTTGGTTCACAATAGTGGTGGCTGGAAAGTCCACATGGCAGCACATGTTGCAAGGCTCTCAAGCCATATCACATCAGAGTAGATGGTACAGAGTCATGTGCTAGAATGAGAGGGAATAATAGGGCCTAGGTAGCTTTTAACAACTGTCAGCATTATAACATAGTCCCATGGGAGTTAGAATTCTAGTGAGATGACATCAATCTGTTCACAACCTAATCTTCTTGACGCTGCCATATTGAGAAGTTAAGCTCCAATGTGAGTTTTGGTGGTGATAAACCATTAACAGGCTTCTAGGCAGAGGCATGTGAGAGCATGGCCTCCCAGGACATTTATGAGACTAGAGACCCAACCTGGACTACTGCTTCAACCTCACAAGGGACTTGACTCTGATACTCTGTGAAGGCATCTCACAGCCAGGATGCATCAGCCCATCTCTGCTCTGTGTAGAAGCTCCTGTTGTGCTGACTCTAACATAAAATGCTAAGCAGTAGGGAGAACAAGCCCCCAGATCTGCACCAAAATGGAGGTTTGGCATTCTTCATAGTGCTTAACAAGTTCTGAAATCAGTTCGTGTAGGTTAGTAATTAGAAAGCCACAAGCACACTATATAATACTTGGATAAAGCCATGTAGTAAATACTGTATGACCCAGAAAGAGCTCTTGTCATCTGTTTACAGGAATACAGACACTCCTGTAACACAAGACTTTTGGTCTTTACCAAAAGTAAAGCAAGTTCTGGCCATCAGCTCAGAAGGTACAAGCAATTCCAGGCCACCTTTAGCTTACCTTTCAACCTTGGAAATCCAGTTCAATGTTAAATGTCTTTTGATTAGAATCCCACCTGGAAAATCCAGGTACAAGCAATTCCAGGCCACCTTTAGCTTACCTTTCAACCTTGGAAATCCAGTTCAATGTTAAATGTCTTTTGATTAGAATCCCACCTGGAAAATCCCATAGCACTTGGCATATCATACTGCTGTGCTAGACTGAGGCCTCTGCTGGGCATGCTGGGCACAAAGCAGAGTAAACGTCTTATATAACTCCCTCCTGAAGCTCTTTGAGTCCAAGAAGCTTTCAATTGTTTTGGTATGTTTCAGGTTCTTCACCTCTTTATCTGGAATGATTGTTTCTAACCTATGGACTTTACTTTGGGGCCTGCATACAGCAGCATATTCTGCGAAGAATGGTGGCTATGCTGTGAGCCACCCTCCTCCAGCCCCATCTATTCAAGCTAGAATCTGTGAACTCATCATTCAGCTGCCCAGAGGAAAGGGTGTTTTCCTCTGACCCACATCGCTCATTGCTACTCAAAAAGAAATAACAGTTATGAGAAAGCATAGAGTCATGGCATGGGCTTACACTGGAACTGGGAATCGTTTGCAGGAAGCAGAGGGGAATGGCAGGCAGAGTAACACTTAGGCCTCTCTTCGTTGGTGACTGCTTGTCATCGTAGGGCAAGTGAAATTCAGATGAGATGATGGTGTTAAGCTGAGTAGGTAAGCTGGCTGTCCTTCGTGGAGGGAGAGGGAAGGCAGAAAGGTCTTCAGGAGTCGGGCATGGTGGAACAGTCAAAGGCACTGTTTTAACACTGGTGACAGTCTTCTTCAAGTGTTCTTTTATTACAAGGTATGTGCCCATGGCTTCATTGAATGCTCTATCCAGAATAGATTTGCAGATCTCAGCTAGATTGTACCCCATGTCACACATTACTGCAACAATAATGGGGTCCAGCTCACTGGGCAGTGGCTCATCAGAACACGGGGCACATTCCTCAACTTGGTTGAGCCATGGGTGTTCAATTATTTGTTCGATACTGGGCCTCTGCTTTGGGTCTGCAGTTAGCAATTGGAAGATGATATTCCGCCCTTTTGCAGACAGGTAAAATGGAGCAATGTACCTAGCCTCCAGGACCAGTACCTGTATCTGGCTAAAATTGATCCCCTGAAATGGGAATTTTCCTGTTAGCATAAAATACAAAAGGACACCCAAGGTCCAGATGTCCACCTTACAACCATCATAATTTTCACGCAGGAACATTTCAGGGGGACGGAATATCAAGGTACCACATACATCCTTCAGCAACTGCCCTGGCGTGGTCCGGATGCTCAGGCCAAAGTCACTGACCTTGGCATTGCCTTTGGCATCCAACAGGATGTTGGTGGGCTTAAGGTCTCGGTGTGCAATTCCATTCCGGTGAAAGTACTGCACAGCACTCACAATCTGTTTGAAGAGTCTCCTAGCTTCATCCTCGAATAGACGGCTGGATTTTCGGATCCACCCCAGGAGGTCTCCCTTGGTGGCCAGCTCCATAACAAGGTACACATGCTCATCCTTCTCCATAACCTGGTACAACCTGATTACATGTGGGTGATGTACAGTCTTAATAATGTCCACCTCATTTTTGATCCGATGATTGTTGAACTCACCCTTCAGGAGTATTTTCACTGCCACTTGGGTGCCTGTGAGGCGGTGATAGGCTAGTTTCACATATCCAAAGCTGCCATAACCAATGATCTCCTTCATATGGTATTGTTCAATGATCTCTTCATCCTCCGAGGAGCTTGAAGATAATTCGCTGTATTCTGCCATCTTTCTGCTAAGATGGCAAGTAGCAGATCTAATTAAAATCAGCTAAATGCAGCCCGGTGCCAGTGGCTCACACCTGTAGTCCTAGCTTCTCAGAACACTAAGATCTGGGGGTAGTGGTTTGAAGCTGGCTGGGGCAGAAAAATCCCTGTGAGACTCTTCACTGCAACTAACCACTCAAGAACCGGAAGTAGAGCTGTGGCTCAAAGTGGTAGAATATTAGTCTTGCGCGAAAGAGCTCAGGAACAGTGCCCAGGCCCTGAGTTCAAGCCCCATGACCAAGAAAAGAAAAGAAAAAAAAAAGCTTAAAAAATATGTAAAAACCAGAAAAAAAAATAAGCAAAAAGCAATGCCCAAATCCAAGCTCCCTGCCCCCTCACACATACAAAAACTGTCAATGTAGACCCGGCCAGGGGACCACCACTCAGGAGCTCCCAGTGCTGGTAACGGACAAAGGTGGAGCGGAATGGCCTCCTATATACCCCCGCGGAGACTCCTTACTATGGCCCAGTGATGTCAGGGAATAAAGGACCAATCATAGCCGGTCAGGGGAAATGGACCAATAACAGTGGCCCAGGAAGGAAATGGACCACTCACAGCCAGACCCCAGTGGCTGTCTAGCTCAGGGGCTCGAAGACTGTTGCCAAAGCCTCACACAAGGTGCCTGGGAGGATGCCCACGATGCCACCGTGGCAGTGATGCAGGAACCGCAGAGACGCAGGTCCGTGGCCTCCAGCATTCTCGTGCGCTGCTGGGCCACGTCCTCGTGTTTGCTCCCGCTTCTGTGCTTGTGCGCCGTCCACATCCTCATACCTGCTTCTGCGAGGACCTGGCCAACTGCAGGGGCCACACAGACACCAACCAGTGGTCTCAGTCCTTCTCACGAGCAGGCCTTGGGACTTGCTCCAACCATGAAAACATGATTTATTATGAAATAAAAAGCCTGAGTTTCCTTCGGAAACTGACACAAAGTCTTTTTTTTTTAACTCTAGGATATTTTTATTTTAGTTTCATACAATATGGGGCTGGTGAATAAAAAATGACTAAATCTGTAAATTCAACTATATTTCTCAGAACATTTTAAAAGCAAACTATGTAAGAGGAAAATACATTTCAAAATGAATATAAACCAATTTAAGCATATGCTGGAATTTGCTCTCACACTAATTTATACAATATATATTAATAAGTATACTATTACTTCAGTTTTGTTGTTTCTTTTTCTGTTTTCCTTTATTCTTTTCCTTTCTTCCTTTCCCTTCCTTCCTTCCTTCTCTCCTTCCTTCCTTTTCTTCTTTCTTTCTTTCATGTTTGTGTGAGTATAGGCAGTATGTGTGTGCGCATGTGTGTATGTGTGTGTGCTTGTGTATGTGTATACTGAAGCTTCTTGCTCAACATTTTCATTCAAGGTTGACATGCCTCTATTTCCAGCTGGTTAAGGAGATAAACCCTCAGATCTGTCTTCCTTGAACTGTAACATACGAAATCTTATATTTTCCTCCCCAGGCTGGCTTAGAACAGCCATTCTGGAGCATGTGACCATCACTTCAGGCCAGGTATCCTTCTACATGGGTCTACTCTCAGCATTTGTGGCCTTGCTGTGGGACTGCATTATCACTCAATACACATATATTCTTTCTCCACCCTGAGCAATAACACAGCCTCCAACGGTGTCTCAGCTGTGATGTGGGCCTACACTTTTACCTGCTAGACAGAAGCTTCAACCTAGATCCTGTTCTGCACATTCCTAGGTCTTCTCCAGTATCATGCCATTTGCCACCGAGAGGGTTAATTCACTTTTTTTTGTTTTGTTTTTTGCAGGTACTGGGGCTTGAACTCAGGGCCTGGGCACTGTCTCTTAGCTGTTTTGCTCAAGGCTGGTGCTCTACCACTTGAACCACAGCTTCACCCTGGCTTTTTGGTGGTTAAAGGGAGATAAGAGTCTCACAGATTTCCTGCCTGGGCTGGGTGCAAACCTCAATCCTTAGATTTCAGCCTCCTGTATAGATAGGATTACAGGCATGAGCCAACAGTGCCTGACCTAATTCTGCCTCTTCAAATAATTTCCCTCTTCATTTACATCTGACCACTAAAACTTTCTTCAAACTGTTATCAATCACGAGAAATTCTATGGTACAAAAGGTACTCAGCATATGGGAGGCAGCTCTCCATGTCTCACCAGAGCAGACTGGCTGGGGCTGAGCTCTGCAGAGCCTTGAGCCACTGGTCACATCCCTGAGACACTCTAGCCTGTGTGTAGCACCTGTGCAAGTTCCAGGAGCTCTGGCACCTCAGGTTCCCTAAGCTGAAGCCTGTTCACAGCTCTGACAGGAAGACAGCTGGGTGAACTGAACTTCAGGAACCTGGAATGAGGTGGAAACAATGATTCTGAGCAGAAGATAAGAAGCAGGACATTGATGGAGGGGTAGGAAAAGGAAGAGTAAATGGGGAGTGGGAGGCAAACAGTGAGGGCTACAAGGCAGTAAACAAGGAAACAGGCAGTAAGGTCATGCCACAGTTAAGGTGATGGATGTCATTCTGGTGGCTCTTGGTGGGTTCTGAGTTTGGGCCACACATCTCTATCACAGCCATCCAGTCCTAAACACAGAGAATAAAAAGGCAAAAGCCACCAGGGCAAATGCTGTGCTCTTACATCCTGACCAAGGAGTTTTGATCTTTAGCAATGTAAGGATTCACGTGTTGCCATCATTTTGATGAAACAGCCTCACCATCCTGTCGGTGCCATTGAGAACATGATTTCCAAAAACATACCATAGGCCCCCTAAACTTGCAAAACACCTCTCCTCAGCCATATTATCACATATTTCATTTACGTAATTTTTTGTGTGTAACAGTAGTGGGGCTTGAACTCAGGACCTTGTGTTCTCACTTAGCTTCTTTTGCTTAAGGCTGACACTCTACCACTTGAACCATACAATTCTGGTTTTTTGCTGAGATCCTCAGATCTCAGCTTCCTGAGTAGCTAAAGCTATAGGCATGAGCCACCAGCTCCTAGCTCATATTACCATATATTTTACAACCATGAAGATCTTTAGCATCAATGATCAAGTGAAAAGAAATATGTATTAGTAACTCCTTCAAAGTTATACTATTGGCCATTAAAGATAGTATTGCAAATTATCACTTAGAGGCACTGAGGATCCTGCATCCTAAGACAAAGACGAACCAGAGCCTGGAGGACTTGGGATCTTTCAAGGACATTTGCCTTCCTGCTTAAGAAAGTGTCATGAGCAAAGTCAAATGAGGTATTTCTGGACATCCTTTTTTTTTTTTGGTTGGTCTCAGGGCTTGAACTCTGGGTCTGGGCACTGTCCCTGCGCTCTTCAGCTCAAGGCGATCGCTCAAATGAGGTATTTCTAAGCCAGAAGAATAGGCCAGGGGCCAACAAGAGTTGAAGGGACACTAAGAAGAGTTGGAGGAAGAAGAGTTCAGATGGCAGCAAAACAGGTAAAAGAGATCAGTTAATGAGAAGACAATTTCTGGTCCCTTTTGGAGGTGCTGATTGAAGGAGATTTACCAGGTAAGATGGACTCCTCAGAGATGCCAAGCCCAATACCTGCCACTCTTCAGCCCCTTGCTCAGATAATTTTTTTCTTCAGCTTCCTCATCTCCATTTGAGGTTCTATAACATCATGGTTAACTATTCTCTGACTCCTACCAGAATTTTAGCCTCACATGCCCCCACAAACCAACACCCTACACAGCAGGACTGTGAATCACCACTAGCACTGCCATCATCATGGAAACACTGATGCAGGACTGTGTGGGGGTCATTCCCATGACATCCTTCCCACCGTGGTACCCACTTGATCTCCCACAGCTCTGTGCCTTGAGGGTTCATCACCCTGTATCATAGGTGGAAATACTCAGACACAGCCAAGAAGTTCCCTCAGCTGGGAAGAGGCTAAGATCTCAGATATGTGGTTGTTCTCAAGGGTTCCACAAGGTGCAGTAGGACAGGCAGGAACCCCCAAAGCTGCTTTAAAAGACCCCATGGGAAAAAAAACCCAGAAGGTGCCTCTACTCTCCCTTCAAGTTGACTCTTTACCACTCTGCTCCATTCAGGCATCCCAACTTTCCCAACACCTGCTCCCCTAAGTTCCCCCAACTTATTCACTCACCTTTTGCCCTATGCAAGCATCTCTTGCAGATTGGGAGGGGGTACAAGCAACATGTATGTTCCTCTCATACTCACAGGTAAGTTTATTCTGATTGCACAAGGAGGTGACAGTGATATATAACACTTGGTGCTTGTCACTATCACTATCCATGTGAAACTTCTGTCTGTCACTTCATTTAACATTCAAAACAAAGCTCTCAATACCTGTGATCTCTCAGACTTCTCAGGTGAGGTAGCAGAGACACACAGCAAAAGACAGAGAGGAGCAGGGAACCCAGGTAGAGTGGTCCCCTAACTCAACTGCTCCTCCTCCAGCAAACAAGAAGGCCAGGAGCAGCAGGCTGAGGGGATCAAGGGCTGAAGTGAGGAACACCCTCCAAGAAAACACCACCTGTCCAGAATATGTGGAAGAATGGAAAGCGGGCATAGGGTCAGTCCTGGAGTCTGCATGGATGTGGTACTGAATTTAAAAGCAGAGGAGAAGGTCCAGAATGCAGCAAGGTGACAGTTCTCTCAGCTCAAGGAAAAGGTTGGTCCCCAGACTTTCTCTGGGCTGACTGGAACCTTCAAAGATGATTCATAATGATATTAGGACCAAGGGCATTCCCCTCCACTTTACTAAGACTTCATAATTTAGACAGATAAGCAAGCGAAAGGCATTCAGAGTTATTGCATGCACTTGGGCATCATGGTTAAACTAGTATCCAGAAACACAGTGAGATATAGAAGCTCCATAGGGATGAGGGAAATGGAAACTTTAAGCAATTTAGATAAATTCCCAGACCTGAAGATGAGCCCACATGTCGGTCATGATTGTGCCAGAAATTTGGCTTTTGTGCACGAAGTTCAAAACAGCCCCCTC